AAATTTTTACATGGATTTTAAGATTTTTAGTATTTAAAAATGAAAATTTTTACATTTGTGAGCATGTTTTAACATTTAACTATTAAGAGGAATGTTATCATTCTGCTGTAATTTACCTTTTGAAACAGGACAATTTCTAAATTATGTTATGTTTGATGACCATTTTAAGCTTGATTACCAAAATTTTGAAGTTATATTCTTCCTTAGCCCTGTTTACATACAAATCTTTTCACTGTAGTACGAGGAGAAATGAGGGTCCCTGAAGAAGCTCTTAAGGTAAAAGTTTTTACTTCTTTTCTAAATCTCCCATTCACTAGATTTCATTTTACTCATTGATGTTTCACTTCCATTTTTACAGCATGAGAAGTTTACCATTCAACTTCAGTTGTCCCAAAAATCTTCAGAATCAGAATTATCAAAATCTGCAAGTGCCAAAAGCATAGATTCAAAGGGAGCAGATGCTGCTACAGAAATTCAGCACAAAGCTACAGAAACACTGAAATCTGAGGAAAAAGCCATGGGTAAGCTAACCTTTTTGAAAATACCATATTTCTACTTGATTTTGAGGACATTGCATGCTTTGTTCTCAAAAAGTTTGGCATGTCCATATAAAAATAATTTATAATGTTGATTTCAGAGTGTGTTTTAATGCAGCTAGTGCTTTCATTAGAAAGCATTATAAAACACATAATTGTGTATGGCAGTTGTATGTAGGTATGCTTAGTATGTTTAGATATTTAAGGGAAGTAAATATAGTTTAAATGTTTGAGGGAAATAAATATATTCATCCCTTGGTATCAGTAGGGAGTTAGTTTCAAGGACCCTCTTGAATACTGAAATTCACGGATGCTCAAGTTCCTTATATAAAATAGTGTATTACTTGCATATAACCTATGTATATCCTCCCATATACTTTAAATCATGTCTAGATTACTTATAACTAATATGATGCATACTCATTACCTCATTCATGTAGATGCAACATAATACTTGACATGAGGCAAATGTAAGCTCTGCTATTTGGAACTTTGTGGAATTTTTTCCCCTGAATATTTTTGATCTGCAGTTGGTTGAATTCATGGATGTGAAACTCACAGATGCAGAGAGTTGACTGTATAGTTTACAGTGTAGTTTACCTAATAATATTTTTATTTCATGTTTCCGAATTAAAAGAAAATTTTTTTAAATCCAATAATGCTACATCGTCATATAATTTACAGTTGTAGGAACTGTAAAAAATATGCTAACATAAATAATCCCTTTCAACCAGAAACAATTTTTTAAATTAATAGACATTACCATATTTGCTCAAATAAAAATCTGTTAGTTTTGCTATCAGGTAGTTTAAATTTAGTTACTGTGCAATACCCTTAGGCTTTAAAAAAAGTTAGAAAATGGGTACTTCTTTTATATTTAGCCTTAATGAGCCATTTCTGATGAGACTGATTTCATTCCTCCCTAGTTGATTACTGCCTAGTTTCAGGAAATTTGTTCTACTGAGGCCACTTCCTGTCTTAATATTCAAGTCAAAGGCCATTTGTTACAAGTTGTTCAGTTATATACCAGTTTCACACTTTAACAAAAAACTGTTGGGATGTACAGCACGTTGTATTACTTAGATAGTAGTCAGTACAAATTTTTATTTAGTTATGTCCAACATCATATAAGGTCTTACACAAAGTTATTGAGCGTGGAGTACTTTTTAGCTATCTAGACTGTACTTTGTTTTTTCATTTAATCAATCAGCCAGGCAGTTCTAGATTCTGCAAAAGCGTGTTTCTTTTTTCAGTTTCATCTGCTTTAGACAGATTTTTCCCACCTCTTTCCAGATATTTCTGCTATGCCCCGTGGTACTCCATTATACGGGCAGCCATCATGGTGGGGGGATGGTGAGGTGGATGAACAAAGAGCTTTCAAGACAAATGGCAAATCTGAAGAAAAAAATCATGAAACTGGAACATCAGGTAAAAAAAAAAAATCTCAATGACTGTGACATTAAATGTATATTTTCGGAAGCATTTATAATCTAAGCAAACAGCTGTCTACCCTGAAAAGAGATGCTCTATTGATAAAAAATAGTTGATGAATATTTTAATGGCCTCATTATTTTAAGGTAAATTTTTAAATTATGAGTGATTTTCACATAAAGTAGTAATTATGGTATCTTTGTAAAGCACTTTTACTTAAAATACTTTTATTTTGCAGTTTATGAGATTTAGCAAACTTGGAAAATAGATTAATGATATGACTGGGCATTTTAAGTACCTTAAAATAATTGTTAAAATATATCAATTAGATCAAAATAGTAGGTACAAACTAATTTTGTATTTTCATTAGGTTCACAAGCATATAATCATATTTTAAATGAACAATTTCTATTGTGTTCAGATATGTAGTGTGAAATTACAATTTTTTTAAAATCTCAGTGTGCCCAATTTGTTGGGATATGATGGCAACAAGATTAGTTGAGTTCAGCAGCTAGAATGAAGAACTAGTTCTCGGTCAGATTCTCAGATTAGTAGTCAAGGAACATATTCTTGACATTGTCAATACTGTTCATGGAGTGGTTTTGTCCATAAGCCAGAAAATCAAAACTTCCAGGAAATAAATGGAGTCATCAATTGTCTGTCACATAAAGACCTTGCAAAGACATCAGAAGGATGGAGCAGCCAGTTTTCATGCTAACAACAGATAAGGATCCAGAACTGGAGGAATTAAGTACAGGCATCAGGGATCAGTATGGAAGACTGAGTCTGACTCTGAGGCAAGGATGAATTCCATCAGAACTCTTCTCAATTTCTTACCTTGACCCTAGTTCCAAAAGATAAGTAAGACATTTTTCTTAGTTGGAGAATAAGAATATTGGTTTTTTAGATATGCTCTAATTTACAAGGATACGAGTCTAAGAAAGCTGGCATTATCAACTTGATCTTTACAGTGTCCAAAGCTGAACTGGTCAACTCTCCAAGTAAATTTCCATTCACAGCTACCTTTTTTCTGTCACCAACACAATTTTCTTCATGCCCAAGCTCAGAAACTTAGTATTATTTAGCATGTTTTCAGATATAAATAACAGAAGTAAATAACCTGAGACTAAACAGGAAGGAGATTTACTGGCTCGCATAACTGAACCCCCAAGCGTTGTTCGATGCAACATCTCAACAGTGTAGGTGTCAGCTAGCTAGTTTCTTTCCATTTTAGTCTTCCTGTCTTCAGTGGTTGCATACTGAGGGAGTTTCCCCTCACACTCATAGGCTGCCTGCCAGCAGCCAGCAGGGGTACATGCTGCTTTGATCACATCCAGCAGAAAAGAACAAAGGTTATTCCAGAATACTTCCTAGAATTTGGAAGATGAACTTCCCCAAAGTTCTCAACACGTCTCTCTTCTCATTGGCCTCTCACAGGTTCTGGAGTGGGCCACCTGCTTTCTGAACCGGTGTCCCTGGCAAGGCATGTGAGATTATCCTTAAACCGATCTTGCTCATCTTGAAATTGAGTGTGGGGTTAGTTTTCTCCTAAGCCACATGAGCTGTGTCAGGGAAGAGTGGATACTGGAGAATGATGGAGTCCTTTTAGGAGGGAGGAACGGGGGAAAGATATTGGAAGGCAATCAAGAATGTCTGCTTTATTTGAAAATTTTGTCTTCCCTTCACCTTGTCTAATATATTATCTATTTCTGTTGCCCCTCACTGAATCATAATTGAACTACCTACCTCCCATTTCAACCTCTTTGCAGTTCATTTTGCATGACAAATCTAAGTTGATCTTTATTTCCTTTGTTCAAGAAACTAGAGTCAAGAAATTGCCTTTTGTCTGCCAAATAGATTTTAAACTATGTAATAAGTCTTATATGTCAAAAGTTTTCGAATTTTGTCTCTTTCCATGGTGAGCCTTATGTCCCATTACCAGTTGTTTTAGCATTCTCTCTCAATGCATCTCCACATAAATTATGCTAATTAATGCCTGCTTCTCTCCCAGGACATATATACATACATACATCAGATGATATAAAATTCTAAATGATGTGTCTGTATATATATTACTATAATGTAACACTCTTTCATTCATTGTTTTGTGTGTATGCCTTCTCTCCACAATTAAACTACAAATGCCTTATTTAAAGTACCACATACTATACTTTCATTGTGCACTAGAGCCACCTAGTAAAGAGAAGAAAACATACCAATTAGGTGGTTAAGAAAACACAGCTGAATGTAACTATTGCCAAATTCTGAAAATAATTGTGATAGTGATTTTATCTGGCCATTAAAAATTTAGCCCACCCCCATCACACACAGAACAACTTTTGAAATCTGAAACATATAACTTTTAAAA